GGAGTTCCCAATATTAATATTTTTTCCCTTGGAATATCCTTATCTTACTTCCTGACCACTTCAGGAGAGATATCCTCAACTGTTAGGGGTTTACCCTTTGTTGTCAGCACAATCATTATCTTTATCTGACCAACCACCCACAAAACACTGGTGAGTTTGTTGTGGAGATTTTTAATTTTTTGTGGGGAGTTATGTATCTAGTAATAGGGAGGGAGGCACACTTTCACTGACCAATCCCTAAGATCCTGTCTTTGGTTCAGTCTTGGCTTTTGCCCTAAGTGTTGAGATTCTGAGGTTCCAGAGGAAGCCTGTAGGAGCAAGCAGTGGTTGAGGAATTAGTATCATCTGGCACGTGTGAACAAACAGTGTCCTGAGAGAAGAGTTCTTATTGAACTTTGCACTAGGGTTCATTTTACTTCACTCTCAGAATCCTATACTTGTGAGCTCCTTGCTCACCCTTGACAAGCAGAGAAGAAAGTGTTCCACCATCAATACGCATTGTAACAGTATTCAAGAAATCAAAAGACGTGTTACTCTGTGCAAATCTGCTGTAAGGATCTCTTAAGTCAAGGATCAAAGTGCTAAAAGAAAGGCCATTCATAGATAAGGGTAATGTACAAACACACAAGCATGTAATATTTTGTATCTAAGCTCTTTATGTATCATCATAAAAGTAGAGACATTCTTGATCAATTTGCAGAGTGAAAAATAATTCGTATACTTTATTTTTTATGTTTTATATTAAAAACAATTTTCATTCTGAAAAAAAAGGATCCAAGTGCTGAAGAATATGGATATCAGTTTATAAACTAAGGTTTGCCTGATGCAATACACAGCATTTTCAATTGCTTCCCATGCACCTGAAAGTTGGACAATGAATAAGGAAGACCAAAGGAGAATGAATGCTTTTGAATGGTAGTGTTGGCAAAGAGCATCGAACAAACTCCATGGTTGCCAAAAGAACAAACGAATCTGTCTCTGAGGAAGAGCAAACGAAGTGCTCCTTAGAGACAAAGATCGCGAGATTTCATCTCACATAGTTTGAGCATGTTGTCAGAGGGGCCAGACCTTGGAAAAAGACATCGTGCATGGAAAAGCAGAGGGTCAGAAAAGAGAGGAAGAGTTCAAGGAGGTGGATTGACATAGTGACTGCATCTATGAGCTTGAGCACGCAGAGATTATGAAGATGACAACGGATTGGGCAAAGTTTCATTGTCTTGTTCTGAGTCATAGTTGACTTGGTGACACTCAATATAATGGTAACAGCGGTGATAGAAACAGATTAGTAACTAAGCACCAGCTAGCCCATATTTATCTTTCTTACAGGGTACTCCGTTCATGTTAAATCCTGAACATTTGAAAAGAGACTTTGAATCTGTATAAAGGTGCTGTGAATTTGAGAGAGAGTTTGTTGTCAATCATATGTAGAAGCAGAATCTTGATAGTGGCTAAAGGTCAAACGGTTCATTATAAATTAGTAAGCAAGTACAAATAAGTCTGACATTATCTTTATTGAATATTGCCATGTTTATCTTTCTTGCTATCTCTTTTTCATTGATGTTGAGTCAGTTATGACTCATAGCTGACCCTCCAGCTGTTTTCCAAGAATGTGAATTGCACAGGAGGAAACTGAGGGTCTTTCCTCCTTGGAATGGCTGGTGAATTTGAATCAGCAGAGAAGTGTGGGCCTTTGGTGTAGCAGTGAAACTGCAGATGATGCCACCAGACCTCACTCCATGTTTATGTAGCCTTTTCTTTTCTCCTTTCCAGGACTTACTCCCATCCCCACTCCACTGCAGTACTTTCTCTTTCCACCACCTACAACTTGATCTGACCTCTTTCTGTCTAGCTGTCATTGGTGTCTCAAAATCCCCAAATCCTACTGGAGAATGGACATAAAGCCACTGTTCAGCTGTCAAAGAGGTAATCAAGAATTCTTGGCTTTTGAAGCATCTGGGACCATATAAACCAGTAGAGATAGCTGAAAGGAGAGCAGGAAGCACTAGCAATTTCTGTTCTATTCTATCAGGCAATCCTCCCATTTCACACTGATCCAATGTGCTTAGAAGTACACCTACCCTAGACAAGACACTTAAGTAATAATGAATTTGGTAAGAAACTGTGTTGCAATCCCAAAGACATGCATTTGTAATCCACCAGCTGCTTTTCAGAGGGATGAGCAATCTCCTCCCATGTTACTAACTGCCTCTGAAAGTCCACTAAAAGGTCTGCGATGAGTCAGTTCCTATTCCATGGTACACAGCAACATAGCGAACACTTAAAGTAAATGAACATCATTTATGTTTATTGTTGTTATGTACCATCAAGTCACCTGCAACACATAGCAACCCTATGTACAAAGCCCTAAACCCTGCTCTGTCCTTTGCCAATTTCATTGTCTCCAACACACCTACCCCCATTATCGCAGTGACTGAATCAATTTATCTCATCGAGGGTCTTCCTCTCTTGTACTGCGTCTCCACCCTCCCAAGAATGATGTCCCTCTCCAAGGACTGATCCTTCCTTGCAACATGTCCAGAGTATCAAATGTAAGAATAATCTTTTGGGTACTCTATGTGAGTACTTCCTTAAAAATATTTACCTGAGATTGCTAGGATAAAATAGCGTCATTTATAAATTTTTAACGAGATAGTTTGACACAGTGAGTTCAACAATGGGCTTGAGCATGGTAGAAATTGTGTGGATGGGTGGTGCAGGCTTGAGTCAGGTTTTGATCTGTTGTACATGAGGTCTCTCTGAGTCAGAGATGACTGGACAGTGCCTAATTACCACCACAAACAACAATACTACAACAACATAAGTGACTGCTGCACACATAGCGAGCAAAGATGATAACTGAACATTATCACAGACATTTTACTCTGAAAAAAAGGAAACACTTTTAAAAATTATTAATAATTTTTAATGCAACATATATGTATTTTAAGCAAATTCTTTCCATTTAATTTCTCCCCCGTTCATTCATTGTTGCACATTTTCTTCCCTGCCTACCTCCCCAGTTCGTCCCCCTCTTTGAAGAAAAAAAAATTCTTTCATTGTTATATAATCCCACAGTCCACCTTAATATGCATTTCTTTTTCTGTAATCTTGTCATGGAAATAATACCTAATCCTATATTTCTTTTAAACAGTGCTCTCCCTCATCTGTTTCAATCCAGGATACATTATTCATTCTCTCTTTTCTTAGGTTCCCCTCAACCCCAATGTCAGTCTCGTTTTACAACAGTGGCACTATTCAGTATTTGTCCTTTCGTAACTGAGATATTTTGCTCAGCATTATGTCCTCCAGGATCATCCTTTGTTTTTCAATGCAGCATAGTATTCCATTGTGTGAATATACCACAGCTTCTCTATTCTTTCATTGTTGATGGGCAATTGCGTTGTTTCCAACTCTTTGCTATTGTGAACAAAGCAGCAATAAACATGGATGTTCATATATCTGTTGGGTGGCGGTTTTGGTTTATTTAGGGTAATAGAATTGCTGGGTCAAATGGTATTTCTTTTATTTTTTTTTTTTTTAGAAAGCGCCATACTGCATTCCATAGTGGTTGCACCATTTTACACTCCCACCAACAGTGAGTTTCTCCACAACCTAGCCTGCGTTTGTTGTTTGCTGATCTGTTGAATTTTGCTATTCTTACTGGTTTGAGGTGATATCTCATAGTTGTTTTGCTGAAACACTTTTAATAAATATTTTGAAAACAGTTGGTTTCCTGACATGGCACTAACTTGGGAGCTTAGGGGAGGACAGGGGTTAATGTGGAATGCTAGGAGGACTGCAGTGGTGGAATGAAAGCTTGAGGACACATAGCTAGTGCACTTCCTTTTTGTCTTAATCCAAATGTGAAGAGCGAGGGAAATGCAACATCTTTAGATATGATCTGAAATCAGGGCAAGGAGGAAAATCCTGAGGGTGGGTAAGGTGGGAAACAGACATTTCGGTGTCAGTCAGGATGAGTGTGGACGATTGTATTATTTGTTTGTGGCTGATGTTAGGAAGGTAGGAGTTAGCATTTGATTTTTGGCTTTGGATTATTTTCAATTAATAAATTTTTTTTTGTTGGGACAGGGAAGAAGTTAAGTTGGAGGGCTTTACACTCAAAATTCCAAGTGCTTTGTAAAGGCCACTTCATAAACATGTTTCTGAGCTTGGAAAATGTTTAGGACGCCTATTCAAGCCATCATATGAACCAGGAAACTAGGATCTAAGAAGGCGAGTGGCCTTGCCCAAGTGGTACCCAGAACTTAAATTCATGTTTCTTCTCAGCCTAGAGTTACTTACCCCATGTTTTCTGATAATATATTTCTAGCTAGCCCACTTCAAACAGTTTAATCACAAATCAAGTCAATCCATCCCAACCCTGACTATCTCCCCTGAGGGTCCTTGCTATCTGTCAGGAAGGCCCCTGACTCTGACTGATGAAAGATTCCCAAAAGTATCTGAGGAAGATTACTTAGCATAAAAGGCCTTCATGCTGGTAAGGGGTTAGCACTGAGGTTTGGACATTTACCAATCAGGATTGGAAGTAGGTCAGTGCTATTGTTAATTAGAGGAAAATCAGGACCTGACCATAAGTCATCTCATGGGAGGAAATTGTGCAATAATGAAATAATCTTGTTAAAGAGAAAAGCAAACTGGAGAGGAAGGGGCGGTAGGGAGGAAAATATGCAACAATGAATGAATGGAAATCCAAGTTTTTTGTAAACTTTTGTTAAAATGTCATTTTTTTTTTTTAAAGGCCATCCCATGTTTGGAGTGAAGTGCACAAGTGGGTTGACTAAGTGCCTGGTTAGAAAATAGTATTTGTTTATGAGTTGACCTCACTCTAGTGAAAGTGAAAGGAGAGTTCTCAAAATGGGCAGTAACAAAGGTTACAAAAACAAGTCAGGGAGGGGATTTCCAAAGCTATTGCTGGCATATAAAGCTGAGTTCAGGTCTCTTTTTCTCAATTTTCTGTTTCTGCTCCCTTGACTGCAGTGATGGCTCCCAATGGGTCCTGCCTCTATGTAAGTTGGGATTTGATGATGGGGTGAATAAATGAACGTGAGATGCAAGAGTTGGGGAAAGACTTCGGAAAGACTGATTGGGGGTGATGTTTGGAATGGTTGAATGGTTGGGAGGGATCTCAAAGGGGTAGAGATAGGATTGACATATGCATAGTGGGAGGAAGTTTTTTGTGTGTCAGTAGAGACTGTGGGTACTAATCAGGTAAAAATATCGTCTTGAGTCTGTTCCTCTCCATCCTATTTAGAGACCAAGGACTCTTAAACTTTACTCTCAGGAGGGTTCCACAAAACTCATTCATCTTAAATTAGAAATGAACTAACTTATTACCTTACATAAAAATAGATGCATTAGAAGAATAAGGCACAGAGAATTGATACATCAGTGAAAAAATGTCAAACATGATTAATGATACATAAATTGGAATGTAAATGAACATTTAAATGATATTTTTAAAACTTTATATTGGTTTGCATGTAAAATTTGTATAGATTGCATTTTATTCATTTACATTGTGTTTCACAATTACTTTATTCACATTGCATTGTATTTCATACAATCATTCTTATACATTGTGTTTTGTAAAAGTAATCACCTTTGATCTATGCCTACTATTTCTCAGTCCTTTCAGGTCCCCACTGGATCTTTCCTAATTCCTTCATCCCTTGGGATGATATGTTTTGAATGGCTTTAAAGAAGGTTTTCTTAGGCTTTCAAATAGCACTGGGTGAATGTCCCCTGCTTTTAGCTCTAGTTACTGCATTAAAGGTGTAGTTCCTACCTGCTGAGAGTGAGGTCTGATCTAATGAAAAAGATCATGGATGTTGTTGTTAGGTATCATTGAGCTGACTACCACTCACAGTCACTCTGTGAACACAGTGGTTTACACACTGTGTCATTCCATCTCATCCAAGCTTTTCCTCTTTTCTGCTGACTCTCTATACCTTTCCACAGCCTGGTATCTTTTTTTTTTTTACACAATAGGCAATACAAAAATCACAGGTAACACATATAAACAAGTAAGAGAGTGCCACTGTAATATGTAAACTGACACTATAAAGCAGTGGATATCTAAAAAGGAAATTAAAAGTGCAGAGATAATTTGATGTATTCTGGGTTTCTTTTCAAAGTACTCAGGATAGACAGGCAGTCTCATGAGTATCCAATGAGGTTGCTAAGTCTTAGAAACTCTTTATAGAAGTTGATTTTTTAGAATCTAATATGCATTTCTTAAAGGTTTGTACTTGGATTTGTTTTGTGACACTTGACAAGCTTTGTATGGATAAGAAGTAGGTACATAAAGCTGGGATTTTTTTATTACATTTTTAGACTAAGAGAGAATGTCTGGTTATGAAATAATGAGACTTACTGTCTTCTTTGTATTATAATCAGGTAATTCCAGAAGAGTAGTTTGACAAAGTGAAGGATACTCTTTGGTGCAAACTCGGCATGATAGACAGGGGGATGACAGGAAAAATGAAGGTTGAGGAGCTGTGGGAGCAGTTAGGGGTGGCAGACAGTTTAACAACTATCTGTTGATTTTCACTAACTTCTTCAGGTGAACGTCCATCCTGAGGAAGGGGAATTTATGACCTTCACTGCCAACTACAATGACAGAGTAAAGAAGATCAGTGAACACGTCCGGTCCAAGACCAAGGTTCCTGTGGAGAACCAGGTCCTGCTTCTGGGTGCCAAAACCCTCAAGCCTGAGAGAAGACTTTCATCCTATGGTATTGACAAGGAGAAGACCATCCACCTCACTCTGAAGGTGGTGAAACCCAGTGACGAGGAGATGCCCATGATGCTGATAGAGTCAGGTGACGGAGGGCAGAGGCACCTTCTCCAGGTGCGCCGGTCGAATTCGGTGGCTGAAGTGAAAAAGATGATCGAAATGAAGACTGCTGTGCCCCCTGAGGTCCAGATCGTGATTTGCAATGGAAAGAAACTGGAAGATGGGAAGACTATGGCAGATTATAAAATAAAAAAGGGCGATTTTCTCTCAATCACAGAATATTGCATTGGGGGCTGATCACTCTGAGGATGAGGTGATATTAGGAAGGAAAAGGCTTATTTCTTTGCCTTTTACTTTCTAAAAATATCATGTAAAGATTTGGGCAGATTGGGGTATATGAAGGAATAATATTCAGTGGGGACTCAGAGATGGGGTGATAAATGACATAGATCAAAAGTGAGTGATTATATGATGTAACAGTGCATATGAATTATTACATGGAACACAATATAAGTGAAAGCTTGTATAAAGCAGTGTACATGGGTGAAACCAAATGTGAATTAATTATTGTATGGAAACCAATTAAAAAGTTGTGAAGGAAATACATAGAAACTCTATTATGTGGAATGATGGAGTGAAGGGATTATTTCTCATTCTTGTGATCTTCTGGTTCTAATACAAGTGGCTGGATTGGGTATAAAGTGATACTGACCAGAAGACATGAATCACTAAGACATTCTAGAAACAGCAATCAAGGCCAGCTTACAATTGACTTCTTCCTCCCCCCCTTATATAGAAAACCTCCTGTTTCCTTTACTATACAAAGTAGTAAGTGTTAGGCTGGGACCCAAGTTTTGCTAATATCTGTGCTCTTATACATGCACCCCCAATTGCTATAATGTTATCTGGTAATGGTTGAAATGAAACTACTGAATAAATAAATTATTTCTTTTTAAGTCAATCAGTCTAATATGATCACTGTTTAACTTACAAAAAATAAAAGTGATATAGCATATTATGATTATCACAGGAATCCAGAATTAAGGTTGCATAGTGGAGTGCATTTGGGGCAGGGGGCAGGGCAGGCTCGGGGTGGGGGGGATTGTGTACCAACGAAGAAGTTTATCTTTTGCTTTTCAAAGAGAGGAGCAAACTGAGGAAGGGGTTAAAGAAAAAGTGCAGCAATGAATGAATGAAAATCCAAAATCTCTGTAAATGTTCATTTAAATTAATAAAATAAAATTTAAAAAATTATGAAATGGTTTCTCTATTTATATAAAAATTTTTGGTATGAAATGAAACCTGGCAGTGTGCCTCTCTCTACCCTATTAAAATCTTTCTTTCTGAGCATGAGGGGAGCAAGGGGATATTTTCCACGGGGATTTGGACACGTATATCTCTAGTGGGCTCTCCTCTGGGGCACATGCTCTTCAGATGAAATTGGACTTTTTTGAAAAGTGAGGGATTGAAGAGTAATCTCTGCTGTGTTTGCCTCTGTGTCTGGCAGGTCTTCTCCAGTTTGGGCATCAGCTGGGGGAGGGTGATGAGGTGCTATCTGTTGTAATAACTTTGGCACTCTGTGCAAGTTTTGACAGAACATTTTGCTTTCTTCTTTCTTTACTATTTATTTCTTTTTTCTTTAGCAAGAATTGAAAAGGGAATTGAAAGGGGTTTATTAAAGCAATAAACCAGAAGCATAGTTAGTGAAAGGTAGTAGTGGGCTGCACAAAAGAGTTAAAGTGAAAAAAAACCAAAAAGGGGAAAGTGCTCCTGGAAAGACAGAGGTGGAGTCAAACCTGGAGGGTATGCTGCAGACAGGGGGTAAAAAGGGAATGACCCCCAAGTGATGACTGCCTTTAGTGGTCCCAGTCTCCTGAGACTGGGTGGTAGCCCAGCCCTGTCAAAGAACTTTTGGGATTGGATGGGGCGGGGCTACTTTCTGGTGTACCTTTTGGCTCCTGCTGCAAATACTACCACACTGGTGCATGTGTTATATATTTTCGTCTCATTTCACCTGAAAGATTCCAGCCCTCTTCTATGAGAGACAGACAAACCAGGTAGCAATTCTAGGCCTTAACATTTCTCCCCTGAGAGGTATCTGACTCTCATTCTTCAGGGAATCAGATGAGGAGATCTCTCTGGCTTCTTCCTGCTGATGACTGGGCACAGAGCCTATCTACCAGTTCAGGGGTTGAGGGCTCTTCCTTCTCTTTCTCGAAAGGCAGCTGCTGCCTCATCAACAGATGGGAGTTCCATAAGCTGGTAATTGTTCCTGATCATTATCTTGTTCTGCACTTGTAGCAGCCTATTGTTAGTGCAAGGCAACAAATTTCACAATTATTTTCAAGATACCTGTACTCTTCACAATTACTGGAGGGTTTATAAGAGAAGGAAAGCTCTGACTTCTACCTGGAAACCCCATTGTCCAAGTTCTACACAGGGTATTTCTTTTCTTTTTAATTACAACACATTTTATTTCACTGTAAAATCTGTATAAAGAACAGCTATAGTTGCCAAGAAGACACATTTATCAGACTTTAAATAAGAAGGGCCATTTAAAACGTAGTCTTCTGCTAGCTCTGAAACTGTCACCTCTTTGAGGCTCTCTGTGATGGAAACCCCAGGTATCCATTAGAATGCTCTGAGGGGTTGGGGCCTTACAAGCTTTTGGGATGCATGCTTTCTGATCCATGGAGCGCTGGACTAAGAACTGCTAGAGTAGTTAACAAATATGTGTTGCTAAATAGAAGGAGCTACATTTCATGCTTAATTGAACTTGGAAGGAAAATACAATTTATCAAAAAATAACTATAGAAAAAAACAAACAAATCTGAATCTTCAAGGACCAACGATCTACCCCTTATTTACATTCACAAAACAACTTTGGGAACTCAGGATAAAGTAGGGGAATAGTGAGGCAGAGGCCTGCTTCTTAGGGCCTTCCTTTCATCTGTACAAATGCATGAACAGAGTAGAAGAGATGATTTCACTTGTTCATTCTGTGAAAGGACAAAGGGAAATCAGTGGACGTGATAGAGGCAAAATGTGGTCCTGGCTCAGTGCAGACTCTTCACAGATTCCTTTGAGACAGCATTTTAAAAGTGCTGATTAACATCCAGCGTCCTTGAGAACTAGTGTGTTAACAAGTCGCTGATTTGAACAGTTGTTGCAATGGAATCACTGGGGCTTACTTTTGGTCTTTTCCCCTCAAAACCTAGGTGGGCAAGATATTGAGATGAAATGGAAGGTCACATGGAAAGAGCATTACACCAGTTTCTTGGCCTCAAAGAAACTCTTGAGGTGATGCTTCTGCCAGATGCCAGTGAGAATGAGAATGACAGTCTGGGTGATGGACCACCACAGGACTCTGGTCGATGCTCTCGCTGGTCAGACGTTCTTCACGAAACCTTTGGTAGTCCTGCTCTTTCTGGATCTGCTCCACCTGGTCAAGCAGTTGGTGCACTCGCAGCTGCAGCTCTGTCAGTTTTTGGCAGCAATCTCTGGATAATTGTTGGCATGTTCTCCAACTTGAATATCTAGGTGCACACGCAGTTTGCCACCAGCAAAAAGGGCCATCCTGGTGGAGCTGGAGTGCAGGAAGATCTGATGGTCCCCAGGAGTGTGGGAAGTAAAAGTGAAGCGGCCCTCGGAGCCATACTGCCGGGACAGTATCACCTTCCCTCCAGGGTCTTTCACTTCCACGTGCATCCCCAAGCCGGGGGTGGAGGGCAGGAAGATCTCTTTTTGCTTGTCCCACATCTGGGTGCGGTAGTTCCCGATGCCTCTATGAAGCAACGCTTTTCGGTCTCGCCAATGTGGAAATAGAGCGCCTGCGAACCTGCTGCTGACAACATCAACAGAAGCAGCAGAGACCACCTCATTGCCGACAGCCCACCAGCTTTGACAGCTGCCATCTTGTGGCCCGTTCAGCCCTACACAAGGTATTTAAAGCAGTTCTTTTGATATGTTGCTTGTAAAGCCAAGAACGATGCCAAGATAAAGGGTTGAAAGCAACTGAGGATTTGTTTGAAAAATTCTGATGTCATTATTTAATTTGAAAGTAATCGACAAAGAAGTTGCTAAAGACAGCTAGTTTCAGTCCTTGAGTGCCGGTAGTGTGAGCACTTTCAGATAGATCCCTCATCCCATTTTACACCCTCTCCCCCTCTCTTTTCTTCACTCCCCCTCTACTGCATGATAATAGTTGTGTAGCAGACACAAATATACAAAAAAATGTTATTTGTAAGTGCCATTGAATCATAGATGACACATAACAACCTTATGAACAAAAGACCTGAACACTTGTATAACTTTCATCATTTTTCTAAGTTCATAGAGTTTCCAGAGGCCAGGCCAGTTTTAATCTGGGAGCTCCACCAAACACTGTCCACCATGGGTAACCATTATCGCATTTGACGCATCAGTGCCACAGTGTTTGGCATTATAACAAATATAAGTTACCTCTGTAAAGCAAATGGACAGACCAGTGCTATACCACTTAGAAGAATGTTTGACCAAAAACAATTAAAACCAGGCCTGAGGATCGCAGATTAAAGTCACCCACCTTTGGCTTGGTAGCATCATTTAGATTAACATTGTTATGATCTGAAGAAGACGGGCTTTTGTGCCCTCTTTCTATATGAAATGGCTGGACAACACACAGAAGAGAAAAGAAAAAAAAGGAACATGTTTAGGACCTATCTAGGTGGGTCCTAGCTGTTATACATTCCTTTTCCCCCCACAGTGTTCTAGAAAATCCAGTCTCCTAGTTCAACTGGATTTGGCACTTCTTTACCTGAAGGAGCAGTAAAGTCTCTTGCTCATAGCCTAATAATGCCTGCTGCACCTTTCCTAAGTTTATGACATGATTTAATAGATAAATTGAGATCTAAGAACAGGTATAGATAGAGCCTTGCCATGCGTGATCTCATATGCTGACAGTTTCGATATGTGGTGAGAATCAGCTCTAATGCCAACAGGATGATCAGCAATAGGTTGTTTAGATCAGAGTAAGGGTGGCACAGTATAGGATAGGGTTCATATCTGTTGTTCATAGGGTCATGATAGGTCTTACTCAATTCAATGGCATCTAACAACAGCTATGGTGATTAACTGAAACTTCTTTTGGTTTCAGCACTGCCTCTAACAGTCTCTCAATTTTAAGTTCATACTTAATGGGAGCATTTTTGCCTGAAAAAATCCCTTTCCCCCTATCACATATAAACATGAGAATGAAGAGCAACTTGGCTGTCAGTATGCATCTGGAGTTGCTTCCTTTCAGTCAACCCTAATGTTAG